ACTAAAAAGTAATTTTTTGTTGTTTTAATAGAAAAAACAACAACATAAATTGGAATTAACGGAATTAATATTAGGAATTTCACAGTTTTAGCATCTGAGAGAAGCTTTTGAGCTTTACCAGTTGTCATAATGTAGTGTGTTAATTTATATGATGATTTAATAAATCAGGAAACAAGATAAGTAAATGAGTAAAATACCCAAATTATTTGGCAACCAAAATTTGATGGGGAGAAAAAAACCCAGGATATGTTGAGGACTATGACGAAACTAAAAAACAGCTGACAAAATCTATAAAGTGTCCATCTTCTATGAAAACACTGACTTTGATAACTCCAACAGGAGGAGAGGCGAAGGAAAGAGGAGGAAGATGCCAAGAAGAAGGCAGAGGAAGACGCCAAGAAGAAGTCAGCTCTGTCTGGTATGGGCTCCAACTACAGCAGCCATCTGCAGAAGGTCAGCTCTACTTCAAACACTTAAAATCAACTAAAGAGCATGAATTGAAACAACTGTGACTAAAACCCGACATTCTGTTGTCCTTCAGGCCGATGCCAAGAAAGGTGGCAAGAAACAAACAGAGAGAGAGAAGAAGAAAAAGATCCTGGCTGAGAGACGCAAACCACTCAACACTGACCATCTCAACGAGGACAAACTGAGGTGAGTTATACTCCAAACTGTTGAAGTGGCCATGAAAACAAGTCTAGTCTTGCTTACTTATGTCTTGTGGACTTCAGGGACAAAGCACAGGAGCTGTTTGAATGGATTAAGACCCTGGAGGCTGAGAAATTTGAGCACATGGAGAGGTTGAAGAGACAGAAGTATGAGGTGAGAGAAAGAACAGTGAAATAGACAAGAGGACAAGAAACATTTACGCACCTATACATGCCACTGTCACAACCAGTGTTTGATTCTTAGAGGTTAACTTAGAGATCACTGATACATCTCTGATGTTCTCCAGGTCACTACACTGCGCATGAGAGTGGAGGAGCTCAGCAAATTGTAAGTTGCGGGTTTCATGAATGTTATGGCGCCCCCTGCTGTGCATGGCCTTCATGTGGCTGCTTGACAAGCGTGTTGTGATGGTGAAAACTTAATAAGCAAGAACACTGCACTCACTTTCTGAGAACAGTGATAGAAATAGATTTGGAAGTTGCAAGGAGAAGTTTCTAAAATATTTTAGCATTTAATAAAATTGTTATTAACTTATCAATATGCAGTTCAAAACCAGTGAATATGACAGAAAATAACAGGTGTTTTGTCAAGAAATAGGACTGTGGCGACAGACAGTGTACTTGAACATCTGGAACTCGCATTTCTTTCTTTCTTTCTTTCTATTGGAAATCACCAAATCTGGTGTTTGATTGGTCAACACATGATTGGTCAACACATTGAATGAAACATAAAATTTATAATAATAAAATAAAAATAAAAATAATAGTATTTTCTTGTAAAACATACTCCAGTAAGCTTTGTTTTATTTACAAGAAAATCATTTTTGCAGTGTATAGGCCCTGTTATAATAATAATACAAATATATTATTATTATTATTATAATTCATAATACATTTATATTTATTAATAATAATTCTTAGTATAATTCACTTACAATGGTATAAGGGGGTATAAGTTATAAGGGGCGGGGAGATGCGGTAATAAGAAATGTAAAGTATAAATAGTAAAAATAAAAGTAATAAAAATATATTTGTAATAGAATTACAAATACTTTATATGACTCTACTCTAACTACTGATAAAGAGACGGTAGGAATATACACCTTGCTCCAACAATAATGTTGAGCAGACAAAAACTAATGTTTTTACTCTTTTAATGGTATTTGAGCAGTTGTCTATCTGGCAGAGAGATAAACTTGTTTTGGTTCATTTGAGTTATTTTGGATTCATCTTTGATTAGAGCTGCCAAAAAACATATCATTATGATACTGTGACAGTAAGTAAGGCCTGGTTTGAACAGCCTGGTATGTGTATGCTGTGGTGTGAAATGTAAAAATATTCATTCAGTGTTTTTTTCCCCCACACAAACAAATACAGTAGACAGACAGACAGACAGACAGATAGATAGATAGATAGATAGAATTAAATAAAAATATAATTTGCTCACCTCTTATCTTATTCCTGCATTGCAGCAGCAAGAAGGGCGCAGCCTCTCGTCGCAGAAAGTAAGCCTGTTATAATAATAATACAAATATATTATTATTATTATTATAATTCATAATACATTTATATTTATTAATAATAATTCTTAGTATAATTCACTTACAATGGTATAAGGGGGTATAAGTTATAAGGGGCGGGGAGATGCGGTAATAAGAAATGTAAAGTATAAATAGTAAAAATAAAAGTAATAAAAATATATTTGTAATAGAATTACAAATACTTTATATGACTCTACTCTAACTACTGATAAAGAGACGGTAGGAATATACACCTTGCTCCAACAATAATGTTGAGCAGACAAAAACTAATGTTTTTACTCTTTTAATGGTATTTGAGCAGTTGTCTATCTGGCAGAGAGATAAACTTGTTTTGGTTCATTTGAGTTATTTTGGATTCATCTTTGATTAGAGCTGCCAAAAAACATATCATTATGATACTGTGACAGTAAGTAAGGCCTGGTTTGAACAGCCTGGTATGTGTATGCTGTGGTGTGAAATGTAAAAATATTCATTCAGTGTTTTTTTTTTCCACACAAACAAATAGACAGACAGACAGACAGATAGATAGATAGAATTAAATAAAAATATAATTTGCTCACCTCTTATCTTATTCCTGCATTGCAGCAGCAAGAAGGGCGCAGCCTCTCGTCGCAGAAAGTAAGTGCTCGTCCTGCAGGCCAAGACCACCACAATGATGATGGACAAGATACACCCCTCGATCTGTGCTGACCACACAGGACTCCGTAGTTATGATCAACCAACTCTTCCTCGTCTTGGACTGTTATTTAGTTCCCTTTTTAATGTCATGTAAATAAAGTGTGACTTAAAGCCTTTGTCAGTAGCTACTTGTTCCTTTTGAAACATCAATAAAATTTTTGTTTTTAGATATTGTCATGCAAGACCGTTTTTGTTTAAGTTCACCAGTGGATAAACATGTTCCAAGTTCAACATAAATTAAGCTGTATTGATACTACACCTAATAAAATGCTTTAGTAGGCCTAGATTACCACTGATAACTCGCGTTAAATTCGCGGTTTTTATTGAATCAGGATAAATACACACTGTTCCGCAATATTGTAACACGGTCTCGTATAATCACAATATTTAAACATCGTAAGTGATGAAACTCGTGAGACAAAATCGCATTCTTACCATAGCCTATCTTTTGCTTTCAATTTTCTACTCCTGTCACGCCGGTAAACGGTAACTCTCGAGTGACCGGCGGAAGGATACCAATTTGCCACTTTAGTGAAATATCAACCTACAGTGTCAACCTGTCACGCGTAACCAGAGGTTCATCCGCCTTTGACAATAGTCCCAACAATTCCAATTTTCTAGCTCAAATACATTTTTTTGGGTAAGAATTAATATAAGTATTTTGACAAAATTGTGAACTTCACATTCATAATTTAAACCATTAATCCGTAGAGTGTTTTAGCGTTTTCGTTTTTACACCGAGGAACCAGTCGAAAATATTTTGTGGTAACCGACAGTCACAGATACAGTCGATAAGCTTAACTTTTGTTTAATAAATGTGGCAGAAAGTTCCTAGATCTGCCATATGAATGTCTTCTCCTGAATGCATTTATGAAATATCTTTACAAACTGTAGCCTCAACAGCACATGATAGGCATGCTAATGCACAATTTGATGATCAGTTAGCTAAAAAATAAAACGTTAACATTATGCAAATATATGTTTACCATAGGTGACGGTTTATTAATGATGTATGAAGTTCAGTACACAAGATGGTGCTGTTGCTAGCCTATATCATGTCTGTCTTCTATTAGAGCTCCTTTTTTAGCAAAAAAAAAAAAAGATGATCGTCCCTGAAATATTCGATAGTCTTTGCAACTTTACAGATCTTCTTTATGCACCAAGAGCTTGTAACACTCCAAAGAGAAAGGAAAACTTGAAATCGCATCATATGACCCCTTTAAATAATAGATCTATTATTTAAAAAAAATAGTATAACTAGTTTTCATTAACATCACCGAACATTTTCCTGTAGATTAAATTGGAAGCTTTTCATTAGCCTATAGCCATGTCATTCGATATTTGGATGCATTCATATTTAGCTAAATGTAGCCTACATGAATGAAAGTTTATAGATTATGGACCTAAGTGTTATCGAATCGCAATTAATGTGAAGCCAGCGTTTTACTCCATTTCATAAACGGCTATTTGCGTTTAGCTATTTTGATTGAGATGGTCCACTAGACTAACCAAATAATTTGGGGAAGCTTCGAGAAAAACATTGTTTCATCAACGGTAAGTTGCCAGAGTTCGTTGGCAATGGACAAAATGTAAACATCTAAAATGTTATTTTATAGACTAAGTTGGTAATTTGTTTTGAGAACTTTGTGTTGAATGAGTTTTACCATGATGAAATTTTAAGAACAACAACCTTCACTTTCATCATTGTTTTCTGTCCCGCTAAAACCGTTTTGTCTTAAATTGATATTCCATTGTGTCATATAGCTAGGCTAATTCACGGAATGGCTAAATCAAAACATTCCATCCAAACATTCGAGTATAAATAGTTATATATTTTTTTTATTAATCCGACATTCACTCATTTAAGAAAAAATTTGTGTAAAGTTTAACACAAGACACAACAAGCTAGTGTTTCAAACAGGCATCATTAAATACAATACGTTTGTTCGTTATCGTCGATTTAACAAAACAGATCTTATTTACACATATACAAAAGTGGTCCTACTTTTCGTATCTGAATTACGATTCTCTCGTAAATAATTAGGGAATAAAAGGTGATGGTGACAGAAAAGATATTCACAAAAGGAAAAAAAACAAAACAACATGGGTCACATTTTCACGTGGATACAATAATATAAATAAGCTAGTTAAGAAACTCACTTCTGCTGATCTGCTGAGCCATTTTCATAACGGAATTCATTTTCCACAGCAAGAAAGAAAGAAAGAAAGAAAGAAAGATCATTCGTTCCTATAGTTTCCAGCAGTGGATCGAAATAGTCTTTCTTTTGTCGTTAAGATCGAATTTGCCGGGTTTTGTTCTGCTGAATGTTTCTCAATTCAGATTTGTCCTTTTCAATTTTGTTTTGCAATGTTGCGGATCTTTAAAGCACTTGATAGATGGGATCCTTAGCCTGCTGTTGAGGGCAGGTGGTCGGGGACGGTGCGGGGGCCCCGGTCTTACTCAGGACAGACCCCTCCTGCGGAGAGCACGGGCTCCCTTCGTGCCCCTCCGGTACTGACAGCACGGGACACGCGGGGGTCTCTGTGGAGATTCGCTCCACGATGCTGGACAGACAATCCAAACTCGACACCACTGAGACTTTAGTATTCCGTGCGTCAGCTGTAAAAAAAATAAAAAATAAAAAAACAAATAAATAAATAAAATAGCAGATTTAATTTTTACCTCAATTGCGATTTTAACTTCAACGCAAATATTTTTTATAATTTTGTAAAATAGTTTTAACTGTGACTCACTCAATGCGTGTTTGTTTATTTAGTACAATGACAGTTTTCGACGCATGACCTACCATTTGTCGTGTCGTTGAAGTACGAGCTGTCATATCTGTTCCGTCTTCTCGACTGACATGTAGGACCCGTGAAATCCATCTAGGGCCAAATAAATATACACTAAATAGTATGCTTATTAAATAATATAATTACGATACCAATAGCTACAGTAGGCTACATGAACTTCTCACCATGCCATCAGAGCAGTTGGATCTCGGGCTGGAGGCATCGGAGTCCCCACTGTAATGTTCCAGAACGGGATAGTAGTTCTCCTCTTGACCCCTGAGCAGCGCCTGCAGAGACTCAATGTAACTAATGGCGTTTCTCAGAATCTCCACTTTGGGCAGCCTCTGGTTGGGGTTGGTGGACGTGCATCTCTTGAGGGTCTCGAAAGCGTCGTTGACTTTGCTCAGTCTTCTCCTCTCCCTCATGGTGGCGGCTTTGCGGCGGTCAGCGTTGGTGGTTTTTCTCTTGCAGGCTTTGCATGCCCACAGCAGGCACCTGCCGGCCTGATGATGCCCGCTGGGCGCCCTCACGTGCTCGTCCTCCATGTGGTGATGCTCGTCGGGCTTGAGCAGGCTCACGTGGACGAGCCTGGGGTCCAGGTCTTCAAAGAAGTGCATGTCGGTTGTGTTGAAGCAAGGGTCGTCGTAGAAATCATCAGCTGACGGGATGGGGAAGGGAATATCCGACATCTCCATCTTTATGTGTTAAGGTAAAAACAACAAATGGGTAGGCCTATACTTGAATGCTTCCCAAGTGGTAAAGTATTTGAGGATTTAGGAATATTAAGACAAATTCCTCCCGACCCTGAAACAACGTGTTGCTCAAGACAACAAAATCGCAGATCCTGGCAAGGTTTCTTTGCTTGTACCCTTCAGGTACTTGTTGCTGGTGAGAGGTCAGGGCCTGTTTATATACAGCCCAGCCGGTCAGGGGCGTGTCCTGCAGAAGACAGATTGACCAATGAACGTGCGTTTAGAAAGAGGGCGTGGTTTCGACGGCCTGGCACTTCAGTTAATAAAAATGAATTCATGTATAAATAATGGTAAAAGTCGCTATTACTGCGTTGTTTCGTATGTGTATTGAGTTGTAATCTCCTTCACTTGTTTGTTTGTCATCAAGTCACAGATTTTAGCTTACAATTTCCTGAATTTTCCCAGGAAACATTCGAGGAAGGACTTCCCTTTTATCTTTTCTAAAGTGAATATTTAAACTATCATTTGTTGCTTAATAAGTCTGTAGCCTACTATTGCATTTGATAAGATGACAAACAATTCAGTACAGTTTTGGTTTCCAGTGCTCCATGCATAACGATGTTCTTCCTTAGTATGCTTAATCGAAAAACGAACGCGAGTGATAAATAACTATTAAATATTAAAAATAAATATTGTTAAAATACATTGAAATACATGCACATGTGTATAGCTGTTAAGGCTTAAATATATTGAATGTTATGGATGCTTACCAGTGTTTAATAAAAAAAAAAATCACTGCTACTCTGAATCATTTTTGGTTTGGATCAATTGTTTAATGAAACACTGGAGCACTACAACACTTATATATTAATACACCTTTATATTACACATGCTTTAAAAAATAAAATAAAACACACACACGCACACACACACACACACACACACCAGCACAATAGATTACAAATGCTTTTTCCAAAGTGTACTTTATTTATTTATGAATTTATTACAGAAAAAAAATCTACAAGGTAAAGTTAAAGTATTTATTTCATGATCTATTTATGATGTTGCCAAGTTTACTTTGCGTTTCTTACAATATCTGCTAGCCGCACAACAGTCCAACAATAGGGGGCGTTAAAGAGCCAGATGAGAGTTAAAACTACTTTTCTGTTTGAGAAGCTCTAAATGTGTGTGTGTGTGTGTGTGTGTGTGAGAGAGAGAGAGAGAGAGAGAGAGAGTTCCTCTGTCTGTTCCTCTGTCTCTCCTATTAGTACGTTTTGCCTGAATAGAGCCTGCTGGAGTTAATAGCCTATTGTAAACAGTTTTTCCATATATCCTAAGATTTTATGTTAAAAATGTTTTATGTTAAACTCATTTGTCACATAACCTGACAATTGTGTGACACAATCATATTTTACTGTATTTCTTTTACCAGCACTTTTTATGCTATAAAGAAAAAAAAATACACATGTACGCATATCAATTTTGTGTTTATTAAAAACAGTGCAGGATAACATTCAAAAGTCAAAACATAGAAGACAAGTTAAAATATTCTAAAATATACTAAAATATTTAATTTTCCATAAAATACAAATGTCATTTTCATTTATAATAGAAATAATGCTCCCCAAACAAAGACATGCAAATGTTAAATATATATTTACTTTTCAAAAGTAGGTTTTTAAAAAGAAATGCAAATACATTTCTCACACACAGGATAAACAGGGCAATGCATTGCTCCATATATAATTGTGAAGCACTAAAAAAAAATAAAAAATAAAATAAAATAAAATGAGAGAGAGAGAATGAAGTTTAAACTCTTATTCGGCTTACTGTCACTAAAGAATACATTGATTTTACTGGAATGACATTAAAATATCTACAACTGGAGAGACTTGTTACATACAAAACTGGCACTATTGTGAGTGCATTTATGCACTTTATTTTCCCTTTTGGACCAATATGTAATCTTTCTCAGACATATGTAATATGTAATCTGTTTAAGGGCCAAAGACACACACTTAAAAAATTAGGTGTAGGATTTACTTTGAAACATGATTAGGCTAGTCAATTTCACAAATAATTACAAAGAAATGGCAAGTAACACATTGAATTAAACACAAAATTATTAAGTTGAAATGAAATAATTCGGTTGAAATATTAAGATGAAATAGGCTATTCTTGTAAAAGGTACTCCAATAATCTTTGTTTTTTTTACTACTTTGAATAGTCACTTTTTACAGTGCAAACATGGTTCCTAAATGATTAACAAAGAGAAAGACTAAGATGTCTCTTGTAGCCGGTCGATGAGGTACTCGCCAAAGCCACCCGTGCTGTCAGCGGTGCAGCCCACTCTGCGAGCGCTGGTCAAGAGGTCACCGACGAGTTTGACCTTTGGGACGAGGGGCTGAATGAACTGACTCTTGATTACGCTGGCGGTGTGTGGATCTCCGTACTCATGCGCCAGCTGATTCAGCTCCAGCATGACACTCATCTCCTCCTTCCACTGGTTAAGCATGATCTCCAGAGCAGGAAGGATGGCACACACCTCTTCAGTGCCTGGCCTCTGTAAATGTTACATATTGTAGGTTAAATATAAAATGAATCGGTTCTGGGAGCTGATTGGTGAATGCAGCGTTCCAGCACCCTTGAAATCTACTAGCCCCTACAGGCGCTTGGACTTCACAGACGCTTGTGAGGGAAGCCCGTGAGTGTGCCATTTGGGACGGGGCTGATTATATAGCTTGGCCTTGAGTGCTGCTGAAGTTACACATGCTTTTCTAAACTAAATTTAGTGTCTAATTGGTAAGGTATTCATCATGGTAGAATCACTGCAGGTCACATTTGGGCCAGTGATAAATAAAAGTGTCCATGATTAAAAAAAAACATTAAAACTTTTACACAAAGTATTTTGAAATGTACCTTTTGTATTTATGTTGGTTTAAAATTTTTTTACATTTTAAAGAAAAGTTTAACTTGAATCACTATAAAAATGTCATGCGGTGTTACCATCAAGTAAACAGTAACATTTTCCTGACATTTTTGATACATGTGAGTGTGCTTAATCATTATTTTTGACCATATTTTTGAATATTTTTTTTTAAGGTTAAAAGTTTTTACAAATATCACAGATTATTTATTCAAAATATCATTACGTTTTTGGGAGTCGCATCACATGACATTTCACAAACCGGAAAAAAAATCAAATGATTTGATATTTTATAAAGATAAAAAAAAAAAAAAATAATAAATAAATAAATACTAAGAAGAAGAAGAAGAAAAAGAAAAAGAAGAAATAAAAATATTTTGTTAAACTATTTTTTCCTAATAAAATACTTAAAAAGGGGTTTCTTTCAATAATTGAAGTCTTTTAATTGTGTCTTCTTCATAATATAACAGGACAGCTATAGCACTTTGTTCCAAAAAAATATCAACATTTAATTCAGAAATGTAAAAACATGCTCGTAATTAAAAATAGGTTAATGCTTTTATTCTGTAAGGATGTAATCAAAAGTGACAGTAAAAAAATGTATAATGTTACAGAAGATTTCTATTCAAAATAAAAGCTGTTCTTTTGAACTTTCAATTCATGTCAGAATTTTTTCACAAAAATATTAGGCAGTTTTCAAAATTGATATTAATAAGACATTTCAGCATAATCAGCATATCAGAATGATTTCTGAAGAATCATGTGACATTGTACACTGGAGTAACGATTCTGAAAATTCAGCTTTGATCACAGGAATAAATTACAATATATTCACATGGGAAACAGTTATTGTAAATTGCAATAATATTTCACAATATTTACTTTATATGCAGCCTTAGTGAGCATAAATAACAAATCTTTTACATGTATTTTTGAATAAATAATCATTGAAATAATGTAAATAACTCTTCTATGCTGTAAAAATGCTGCAAAAGCTTTATTAAACAACTTAAAAACCATCTAAATGGATCAGTCCATGTATTGGTCAAATTTGAATTGAGCTACAATTAAGTAAGACAGCACACAGTTGTTTCCAAGTGTGTCCAACCATCACCCCGCACGGATGAGCGGATAACAAGGTGTTCAAAATCGCTGCTGATGGACCCTCACCAGTCCCAGTCCGGATCAATTTTGCACGAGTCATAAAATCAGGAAAGGCTGGAAAGTAAAAAAAAATAGAAAGAAGAGAAAGGAGAAGAGAGGACGCAGTGTAAAGTGACAGCAGTGTGAGTGCCATGGAATCCATCTGGAACTACAATTAATGCACTGTCCTTCCGCCTTCACATTAATCTCGCCAATTTTCCGGAACTCAGGGGAAACGTATACCCTAACAGGCATTAAAGGGGAGATCTCTGCAAAACCCCCCGCTGGCTTACCCCCATTGCTCTCGTTCTCTCTGCCCTCCATCCCCCTTAAGAGCTGCTGCTGCCCCATACAGACAAGAGTCAAATGAAAAAAATAGGCTTATGATCATAACACTTTGAGTAAACATGAGTTTAAACGAATGAGATACCTTCTTTGTTCCATATCTAGGTGCTATTTCTTTTAAGAAAAAATACAGGGCACTTCGGCCAAGTCTTGTGGTGGTGCTCTGGTTAACTGGTTAGATGGGTGAGTTACCTGGATGTTCTTATTGCAGTATTTTCCTCCGCGCTGGGACAGATACTGCAGCATTGCCTCTGCCCGCTCTAGTTCCTTCACTGATTCCTGATGAAAATACGCAGACACTCTGGGTAAAGCCACATCACTCTGCTCAAAGATTTTGGCCTGAAACACAGAACGGAAGACAGATCTGATTTAGAACAAAACTAAGTCAAAAATGATTTTGCTTACCACTGTTTCCTGTAATGTTTCCTGTAAGAGAAGAAAATGGGTCAGGAAGTTTAAAAAAAAAAAAAAAGATTGTTTTTGCTTTTTATTTATTTCAAACATAATAATAATAGTAATAATAATCATATTAGCCCATTCTATGTCAGCCTGCTCTAAAGGCATATTATTTTATTATTATTTTAATTTCAGCTTAAGTTTCACTTTTAACTGTTTTTCTCTAGTTATTATTATTATTATTATTATTACCTTATAATGTTATAATGTACAGCACTCTGTTCAGTCTTGGTTGTTTTAAAATGTGCTTTATAAATAAACAATAAATCTGTTACAATCACACTGAAATTTGGCAAAAGAAGTGG